CTTGGTCGAATTAACCATGAGAGCCATAGAATTCAAAGCTTTTAGATCCCCGCTTACCATACATTATCCCTTCCTATATTTGAGGTATGTTGACGACATTCTACTTGCATGGGAAGGCTCAGATATAGAGTTACTAGAGTTTATACAATTGCTGTCAACTATTTTCCCAACTATTTCCTATGTAGGAAAAGAAAGATGCAAAGATCTTCTTTATAGATCTACTTGTATGTAGGTCTCACAACAGCATCTTACTTTCTGTGTATTATAAATTTGGTGAACCTCCTTACATTATCCCTTCTACAACTTTTCAGCCCTCAAGATACAAAAACATGGCTATTATAGCACTAACATGCAGGGTGTTCTCATATCCATTTTTCCAATTTATTGTAGATGAGATTTCCCTTCTTAAATTGGCTGTTTGTAGTGCTGGGTATTCATTAGCCAAATTCAAAAATTTAGTTAACTGGGTCAAATGCATATGTTGTTTCCACCATCCACTTTGTATTGTAAGAAGGAATTAGTTTTTGTAACCTGGGCTATTCCATACTTGGGTCCTGCATTGTTACATATTTGTCAAGTCTTCAAGAAACTTGGTTATATTAGGTTGTTCGGAAAGTAATTTCATTTTTTTCCTTGGAAAAAAAAAACAATATTTTTATAATAAATAAATATTTTGTTGAATTATTTATCGACCATTTTGGTCAAATATTTGTCATCGTTTCTGGTAGTAGCATGATTTCACATTCATAAAAGTTTTGATCGTTGCTTACAAAAAACTGATCCAAGCGATTTTTGACATTGTCATTTCAAGTAAATGTCTTACAGTTAAAAAAAATTTGTATAGACCAGAACAAGTAATAATCCGAGTGTGCTCGATCTGGCAAGTATGGTTGGTGCGATAGCACGTCCCATCTAAGTTATAACATTTTCTGATGAGTTACTAAACTTGTGTGAAATTTGACATTATCGTGGTAAAACACTACATCTGTTTTGTTGATTAATTCTGACTGCCTTTTCTATTTAATGATATTACCAAATTTGTTTACTCGATGGCAGTATGGCAGTACACTTTTGAATCAATTGTTAAATTATCTGGTACAGCTCAAAAAGAAAAAAATTTCCTTAAAATCCCACCAAAGATAGTATCTCTTCTTAAGAACATGTGAAACCCATATATCGAGCTTTGAAACAAAACCAATTTGTTTCAAGTAATCATAAACAGTTCAATTTGATAAATTTAACCTCTTAGTGATTTGACATGTTGTTATTCAGCAGTTTGCTTCAATCGGTACCTTTATTTTGTTTTCATTGGCTTCAACTGGCCATCCAGAACGTGGTGCATCTTCAATATTGAAACTGCCAAAACAAAATTTTTGTAAACCAGTTTTGGTACTGTCGTTCTGTCAATACATCTTCTCCATACACGTCACGCAATTTTTTTGTCGCTTAAACAGCATTCTTACCTTTTCGGTAATAAAAGAGCAAAATATGCCAAAAATGCTGCTTTCAATCTTCCATATTTAATGGGACACAAAAAATAAACAATTGCACAAAATCAAACAAAATTTTTTACAAATAAGCCTTAAAATGCTAGCTGTCAAAATATATAATGATAATATGGTTTAGAATAAAAATGGCGGGAAAAATACGACTAATCCGTGTAGTGGTAAAAAAAACTAAATTACTTTCCGAACAACCTAATATTTTGTTACTAGTGCCCCAGCCCACCTTACATAGGATACTCTGTAATGATAGAGACAAGTTATACTATCAAAAGTATGAGGGTATATACTATATCCTTGCAAAATCCCCTAACTGGGTTGAAACTATCATATATCAGAGCTCTGCCTTCATCTCACAGAACATCGTGATGATATAGAGCATAGCAAGTGTACAACAGAGTTAGCTAAAAAAAGCAATAGAAAGTAACTTTAAATCAATTTGGTCACAAGTTTCCCTTCTAAAATGTTGTGAGGATCAAAAAACTATTTATATGGGAATCACTTTACATCTCATTGTTGTCACCATCCAACTCTCCCAAGCTGGATATACCAGAGTTGTGGACAGCACTGTTTATCCTTCTAAGGTTCTAAATCACATGGTTCATGATAAAACACCTCCTAGCAATAGTAGTGCTACTATATGTTTGTGTTTATTTATTGACTATTTAATTCATTATTATTTATGTACTTTATTTTAATCCATTTAGTCTTGATGTTTTACTTTGCATTTTATCGTATTTTGTATTAATGTATAATTTTTGCAAACTGTACACATATAATTTAAATTTCCATGCACACTGGAGACAAATAATTTTGAAAAAATATTAGTTGATGTTTGGATTCTTTTTCTTGAATTTAAATGTCTTGTTCTTTGAAAGCTCTAACAATTCTGCCCGAAGAGGACAGTTTTAGACAGTTGAAAGTACTTGCAAAATAAATCATTTTTCATAATGCCAACAGACAGTGATATATGAGTTTCATTTTATATTAATATCTGATGTGTTTAAACCTTTTCCTAATTTAAATAAATTTTGATATCATCATGTTTCTGTCACGTAAAGCTTTGTTGATAAATAAACTGATAAACTTAATTTCCAGCATAAAAACTTTTGGCAAAAAGATAAATCAGATTTTTAGAAGAAACTGGCTGATATCTGGAACACCATTAAAACTTGCACCTCATATTAGACAAATCTAGATTGACAACATTCACATTAGAAAAAAGAAAGTTATGCTAGTGAAGTAGGCTCAAGGGTTACATTCATAGCATCACCAGTTGAACTGTTGTCCAATTTATCTAATATTGAGCTAACTGGCCAAGAGCACCCAAATGTGTTTGACTTTGTGTCAATGTCAATGTACCCATGTTTTTGTACATTAAGAGATTTCCTGTAACACCATTATGTTTAAGAAAATGTGACCTATCATAAAAGATGTTTATTTTGTCATGTACTATCAAACAGAATGACTCAAAAGTGTCCTTTCTAATTTTAAAAAAACCTTATTTTGTTTTGTATTTCAAAAACTGCTGATTTTCAAGGTTATCCAAGGTAACCAAAACTCACCCGTCTGCTCTATAAACTTTCTTATTAGTTCCACCTTCCTATCTCCAATAGTTTCTGACAAAAAAACTACTAACACCACCAGTGAATCATCTTATATATATATAAGCATTATGATATATATCTGTATATAAATACCATATTTGCTTATATTTACCTGAAAACTCAGCTTATTACTATTTTAAGAACTTCTCACTACAGACTATGGCTTATGACAATTTAAAAGTCAATTTTTCTTATTCAAATATCTTTTAAAATGTTTATTATTATAATAAATTTCCTTAATCATTTATGTTTAATAAAAATTTAAGTACTGTATTTACTCACATATAGGACGAGGTGTGACTTTAAGGATTAAAAAAAGATTAGATTATTAATACAATTCTAATTTTATTTCATTTAATCACAAGTAAAATATCAAATAAACATAAATGCACACATTGTCCTGCAAAAATTACTGGCATTTTAAACTTTAAGGAAAAATCTTGTAAAATCAACAACAACAAATTTGTTCATGTAAAGCTACACAATCAGGACCCTTTTTTTTTGCTAATTCTTAACAGTCAAATCCACTCTCTGTTAATTACACTTATAAGTTTCTCCAAATTTTGATTTTTGAATAATCATGTGTTTCCATGTAGGAACAGATAAAAACTTATATCTGGAATTTAATTCAAAATCTTTGCTTTTCCTATTGCTATTCATCTTTACTCCTGACAATATACAAGAACGATTCCAATGACCCAGATAATTTTATCTGGGTCATTGTTTTTAAATACAAGAGGATAAGCATTTGGGAAAAAAATGCAAATACATGGTCCACAAAAATTATTTGCAAAAACGCAAAGAATCTTTCACTTGCATGTATAGGATGACCTAGGAATTTGAAGCTGTGGTAAATGAATAAAAACCTTGTCTTATATCAGAGTAAATACGGTATATGAATCAAACTTTATTATATTAAAATATAAGAATAACTTTATTATTATTCTCTATAATAGACTTCAACCCTATCTTCTCCTAACTAATTTTATGTATACAGTATATTTTAATTGATTCAAATTCTAATTTCATTTTGCTGCTGCTGATGCTCGAGAAACTGTTCATATTAATTATTAACATGAACAGCAAACTAGAGTTTAAGATTTCATTATTTGTGAAAAATAAAAAGCAAACTTTCCAAATTTAAGGGGTCAAACCTATATTTTTATCTTGTTTATCATTAATCTATTAATTTTTTTCACTCTTGACTTTATACTTATTTATTATCTTTTTATTGATGCCTAATATAGTTTAAAAATTAGCTGTTTCTCAAAAACAATGAACAATGATAACTAGTAATATCAGGAACTGACAAACTGCCCTAATGTTTTTGCATTGTTTTAATGCTTATCATACAATATAATGATGATTAACACTAAAAAACAATTATTCAGATGCATTACAAAAGATTATTTTTATCTGCAAAAAAAGCAAGAGTTACTAAAGCCATTTGTAGTAATTAATTTTTTTTTCTACAAATCCACAAACCACTACTTCAATAACAATGAGTAGTCAACAGAATATATTTAGAACTCTTTGTCTATTTAATTTAATAGTAGCTTAATTAGATAATGATAAAAGCTTGTTTCTTCAACTGAACTACTGGCCAACAGAAATATCACTAATATATGTTTAATCCAATCAAAGGACTAAAAATTTAGGACCAAGTTACCTGATACAAATTTAAAGTTTATAATTTACTCATATGTAATGAGAAATATCACATTTTCTTTAAATCATAATAAAAAATCCATCTCTCAAATTTTTCTTGTTTATCTCATCAAAATCAAATAATTTAAGCACTAAAATAATAAAAATTAAAACTAATTTCATAATTTATTTTTTATTTAACTTATTTTAATTATTTCAAAAAATAATGTTTTAAGATACATACCTGGAATAGTTCCACCTGAAAAATGACAGAAAAATATGTTTAAAAAATTTTCTCAACAAATTTAAACATTTTTGTAAAGATTAAATTAAAAGTACTTTAATTATTTTTTATTATTTTATGTTATAATTAAATTAAGATCAGTATTTAAATATTACATCAACACTTGCTTTTCTTTCTGCAGATGAACATACCATCAAGTAAAACACTACTTGATGTAACACCAAGAAGGTTTTTACACTTATTTGTAGAGAAACTGCAAAATATACAGTTTGCATTAGAAATATGTTCAACTTTGAATTGTTTCTAAACCAAAACTATTATTTTTATAGTGTTGTTTGCTTTAAAATTTATCATGGCACAAACTTCATTTAATTTAACATTTATGTAATGGTATAATAATAAAAATTAAAGTTGAGAATTGCCTGTATCGAGTGAAAAATTAAAATTAATGTCGATAAATTTTTCAATTAAATGACTGGAAATTTAAAATCTGATATATATACATACAATATATAATTAGTTTTATACAATTATTTTTTTTCCCTTTCTTTTAAACCTTCAATGACTAATGTTAGTAAAATATATATTTTCAACTTTTTTTTAAATACAGTAAAACCTAAGTCAAAATGTGTTAATTAAAACTTAACTACATATCCCAGGCACAGTATAATAAGGTTTTCAAAACAACACAGTCTCTTTAAGTAAAAATTATTGGTAGTTTTAACTCAAACATATTTACCCATGTATCCTCTAACCTTTGATGGTCCCTTCATTTTCTTTAATATTCTGTGTGAATACAGACAATTAAGATAAACACTACAGCTCCAAAAACAATACCATGCCATTACAACCTCACATAAACATCCTTTTACTGATACAGTAACACAGTATGTTACTGCTATTCTGATTGGGACACAAGAAGACACCATAACAATGCACACAAAAGCACCATAAACTGTATAAAATTTTGTAATTACCCTATAAACAGATTCTTGAGAAATGGTCTGATAACAGGAAATTTACAGGGACAGAAAAATTTGAGAAAATCAAGTAGTAAACTCAATAACTCAAAGTTTTTACTTATAAACTCAAACATCAATTTATAAATGAAAATCTTTAGCAAAACGTGTTTCAAAAAATAAATAAATAAATAAAATTTAAGATAACATTCATTCCAATAAGATAAAGAAATAAAAAAAAAATATATATATATATATGCATATAAATTTTATTTTTATTCTTTTTAATTAAAATTTCAAAATATTGTTCAAAGTATCAAACTTTGTATAAAAGCTAAAATGCTTTTTTACAAAAATCCAGCAGTAAAAACTATTCACTCCAATATTCATCACAAAAAAATTCAAGTACAAAATGGCATTGACAAATCAATTATGAGAAAACTGAATGTGCCTTTTCAAAATACTACTTTATTTTTAAAATTAAATAAAATTAGACTGTAGTAAGATTACTAAAACAAATATTATCAATCTTCTTCAATGACCATCTTCAGGTTTTCAATATTACGTATAATATTGGTAATATTAAAAACCCGAGGACGATCAAAGGAAGATTAATTAATTTATACTTTCAAACTATTTTTATAATATTCACTTTTATAAATCTTTCAAATGAGGAAATACTATCTATATATATATATATATATATATGGAGTGCACAATGGACCTTTTTAGATCAATTTGCATTTGGCCTAGGGCCCCCACCTGCACAACAATAATAACCTTTATATGTCATTTTCAACATTATTAACCCTTCATTTAGAAAATATAACTATTTGACATAGGTTATAAAATAACACAATTGTATGAGATCTGCCAAATTCTATTTAAAAACTGCAATTGTTATTTCATAGATTTTCAGATTAAATGGGCAATAACAGGTAACATTTTAATTACCTGTTTTATTTAAATAATAGCTGTAGTTACTATTTTAAACTACATAGTCTCTCTGCAGTTAGTATTTCCTCTGCACGTACATTTGACATCTATTATTAATAAAGTATTTAAACACTTATTTATAAAAGTTTGACTTTTAAAGTAAATTATACTTAATATGGCAACTTGAAACATCTTTCTTTATAAACAGTAAAGTTAGCACATTAGATGTCCTAGCTATAATAATGAGTGTTACTTTCTACATATCAGTAATAAGAAAATAATTAAAAAGTACATCTACCATATATTGTACATTTTACATTTTTGTTTGCTAAATATGGTACCTACCTACCATAGTTTGTGAATATTTATTATTTTATATTGTTTTTCTAATTTTTCACAGAAATTATCAAATAGTAGACATGGCTACTATTCAAATAAACCAGTAAAATTAGAAAAACTTATTTATTAATAGCAAGTGGTATTTATTAATACATTCTATTGCAATGTTTCTAAAAATTCCCTTTAATTACTATGAAATAACCTTCTAGCAAAATTCATCAAGCTAAAAGCAGGATAAAAAGTAGATCAATCTTCAGAAACAATGCTACTTGATCATAGTAAATATATACTCACATGATAATATTTTACCATATTTAATTATTTTAGGATCATCAATATATCTATCCCAAATATAATATAACACTGTATAATATGCAAGATTTTTATTATTTATAATATAACTTAGTTATATTCATAGACATACTGTTCTACAAGTTATAGCAAATGTTATAAATAGGTAAAAAAAAAGTACATTAGTATATTTGCAAATTTACTAAAATTTCTGAATAATTATAAAAAAGAGATTTGTAAACTGAGTGGAAAAGCTATTAGATGCTTTGCATATTGTGATTTGTTGTTGCTTTCTTCTATCTGAAGAAGGAAATTTTTAAGTTGGTATTATTTCTTTCAGTTACTATTTGGAATTGATAAGTAATTCTGGTTGTCGTTCAACTCTTTGTTACATAAGAAATATTCAATATCACTTTCTTTCATACTTTTTCTTATTGATTTATAACTGATATTTTCTCTTATCTTTCTAGTAGGTGAACTCTTTTGTAGTTTGAGTGTTTTTGTTATTTTTATAATGTTTGTCTTGGGAATTAATGCTATTTTCTTTGCTATAAATTTGTGAAAAGTTATTAACATTGGTATTTTCATCTATTTATAGGCAGTTATTAATTTTTATTATTTAAGTATTTTGGATAGTTCTCCCTAATTAATCCTTGGCATTTTACATCTATATAATCATTATTATATTTTGATTCTACAATAATGTTTTATATTTGTGCTTTATATTATTACTATTATGGTTTTGTAATTAATTCATTATTTACTGTAACCTTTTGATGAATGTCTCCTCACAATAAAAGTATTGTATCTAGTATGCTAAATAAATAAATAGTACATTTGCAATAATTTTTTCAATTATGTGATGATGAATGATCATGTACTCGAGTATCTTATAATTTTTAGAGATAATTATAAATTCATTCTGATTGCTTGTTATTTTAAAATTTATTGAATGTTGGAATACTGTATAGATTAAAAAATATTTGAAATAAAATATATTTCAAAACTAAAAGACATAAATGCAATCCAATTCCTGCCAACAAATTTGGAATATTTACACACATATGAGTTCTAAACTTATTCTAAATACATTATTATTATATATATTTGAGAATAAAATTGAGATGTTACAGTAGAACCTCGAAAACTCGGCCTAATGTGGACCGAAGGGTGGCCGAGTTTGTGAAAATGCCGGGTTATCGGGAATGGAGTTAAAAAATGATAAGTATGCGTGTTTCCTCAGAAAATAGTGTACTGTACTTGTATGTATTGTTTGCTGGAGAATACAACAGAGAATAAACTGCCCAAATACCCTTAAACAAAGGAAAAGTACGTACTTTATGAAGGCATAGAGCCTTTACTACATGAAAATGAAAATTAATGAATACACTGTGTACAGTAATTTACCTGATAAGACAGACCTCAGAAAAATACTTTATGAGAGCTTTTATACTTTTATAAAGCTGTCTATAATGAAAATTAATTAACTAAGGATTTTTTTGCCCTGCCAGGGTGTGGCCGAGTTATCCGGAGTGCCGGGTTATTGAGAGCCGAGTTTTCGAGGTCCTACTGTATTGAAAAATGCACATAGATTTCTATGCTGTAATGTTCTTAATGTTACTTCACATAAACATTCCAAATTTATCAGAGAGTATTGAGTTTGGCAAAGTAGCTTTGATTTTCTTTATACATTTTAAATTTTTAGATCTTGATATTTCAATGATCTAAAGGAGCAGTGGGCAACCTATGACCTGCAGGCCAACTCTGGCTCCCAAACAAAATCCAGCCCATGAAGGTTTTCAAAACATACAAAATAAACAGTTTGCAAAATAATATACAATAAACCTAATTTTACTGTTGTTTTTTATTATACACCAATTTTTTTCTGCATTGACAGATAAATTATGTTCTTGTACATGTTTTTTTTTTACCATTTTCAATAAACTGGTCGATTGCAATCAACTTGTTGACTGGCTGGCTATGAAATGGGTGAAATAGACCAATTTTATAGGTTTGTATGCAATCATACAAACAGAAAATCTGATCCTGTGCATTCACTTTCACATTTTATTTGATGTGCCATTTAAGAAGGTTGTCCACTCAATCCAAAGAATCATACAAAATATCAATTTCATAAAAAATAACTATTCTGAGAAAAACAACATTAAACAGAAAATTTTAATACATGAAAATGATTCTAACAAATCTAAGATTTTATCTGTGTGTATATGTTTATATATGTAAATTCATAATAAGCACTTTTGCCTTTTTTATTTAAGGCTTATTCAGATTAGAACTTCATTACATTGGAACATGTTAATCAAACAGATTTTAAGTTAAAATTAAGAACTAAGTGAAAATTAATACATTTGCTAGAATATAAAGTAAATACGATAAATAAATATTACATAAAAATAATAATAAATAAAATAAAAAATGACAAAGGCTTTTATATAACACATCTTCAAATTTCCAACCAATTTAATGTCAATTTATTGCTTGCTTTAGGAATTTAAGATTGTTTCAGCTATAAATAACATCTTTTCATCTCCTAAAGAAAAAATCACTTTGGCTTTGTCCCATTCTGGATCATCAAAGTAATTTTTTTCACCAAGGATTGAAAAGATGTTATTTATATTTAAAATAATCTTAATTAAATTGTATAATGCAAGTAATATCTTAACATTAAACTTATCAGAAATTTGGAACTAGCCTGTCAGTCACTGTTTATTTTCTTTATTATTATTATTTTTTTGTATCATTTGTATTATTTTTATGTATCATTTGTTTCACATAATTATGCAATATTTATTTATTTTATATAATTTATATTCTAGCAAATGCATTACTTTGCACATAGTTCTTAATTTTAATTTAAAATCTGTTTTATTAACTGCATGTTCCAATATGTAATGAACTTTTTAATCAGAAGTTTTAAATAAAAGGCAAAAGTGCTTATTTTAGAACTTTTAGCCTGTGTTTTGTATTATCACTAAAATTGTGTATTTCTTAATTTGGATTGTTTAGAAGACATGTGTTCATATTTTGATCTATATAAATTACTATAAAATAATTATAAAAAATATATAGTTAAATCACTGCAAATAAACTTACATGACTAATACAAATTATTTTGTCATAATATCAATAAATTATACATTACAATACAGGCAATTCTGAATGTTTCTATAATCAACACGTTTTACTAACAAGTATCAGTGTCAAAAAATTCATGTTCACAGAATTTATAACAGCACTGATGTGAAAAATAAAGTGATAAAATATATTTAAAAATTTCCTAAAATGGCTTAAATTTGGTACAAGGTACAATAAGTACAATGAAAGATTGTACTTCTTGTACTTATATTATATTCTACCCAATCTTTTAACGAAGTAGTAAAAAATTCTCTATCAGAATTAATAAAGAAAGACTAGACAAAACTGTAAAAAAAAATGTCATTTTTATATACAAGAGCTATTTTAAAGAAATTCATGCAATTAACTCAATACTACTGATATAAAGAATCAAAATATACAGATATCTCTCTTGCAACAAACTATTTTCCTATCGTGGATCTAAGAGGTCAATAAAAAAATTTCCTTTTCACATAATATTTTGTTACTCCACATTCAAACAATCTAATTCATAAAATCTGAAATCATATTAATCCAATTAAAAATATTTTCACAAATTCTCAAAACCACCTTGTTTTTCATAAAAACACTGCTATGAATTCTATGCTTGTGAATTTCTTTTTTATCACAATGTATAAACACTTCATCTATCAAAAATGTTTAGTGCTAGATTAATTTTAAAATTGACAGAAATTTCCTTAATAACAATATCCATATATTAAAATAAGTATTTGGAATAAAATATATTTCAGATCTAAAAGGTTTAAAATGCTTTTATTATATACATATGTATTGTGTTATTATTATTTGTATAATTATAAATATTTCACTAATATATATATTCTTGTAAAGTAGAAATTTTACTCCTTTGGTATATCCAAACAATTGCAAGAACCCTTTAACAATAAATAAATATAAGTTATATATTATTTAGCATGCAAAAAATAATCAATATTAAGTAGTTTATATCTTTTTAGTAGATAGATTTTAAATGTTATCTATTACAATTTTTTTCTTATAATGTTAAAGTTTCCATAAATGGTTACATAATTTTAACAAATAGTTATATTTTAAAATATAAAACATTTATAGAATACCTTCAAAAATATTCTATAAATTCCATTATTTTTACACTTTTAAAAAACTAAAGAAAAATTTGACATTACTAGTTTAAAAAATATTAAACTTTTACTGAAATGCTTTTTTTGTAGGAACAATCTTCAAACATTTATAACAATGTATTGAATAAATCAAATAATAAATATCAAGTTAATTATTATTTATTTTATCAAATTTAAAAGAATGCTTTAGAATATTTTTAATAAAAATGATAACATTTTATGTTTTATCATTATTATTGTGATATATTTGTGAAAGATGGCCGTTAGACAAGTTGAAAAAATATTTCAGTAAATATTTATGATTATAACCAACAATGTCAAATTTTTGTTTGGTCTATAATTTTTGCATTCTAAAAAATGATGTGTTTAAAATTTCAGGAGACATAAGATACCCTCAATCTATTATATAAAAAAACTTACTGAAAACCAACCTCAAAACTTACAATTATTAGGAACTTAAGGCAATCTTTCCGTTAAAACATTAAGATTTTTACCTTTTCTATGGTCTTGTCTATTGAATACAGGTTTGTACAGATGATGCAAAATAAAGGAAAAAAAAAAGATAGTTATTTTCATACACTGGAAATCGAAATTAATAAAGTATGCTGAATAACGGATGTGAAATATTAGACAGAAATATACTTTCCTTGATTTTTATCTAATCTCTGAACTACACCAGAAATCTTATAAATGAAATTTGACTTCATGCCATCACTATCAATTCATATGTATAAATTCTAGAATAAACTGATGTAATCGAGGCAGAANATAATAAAATAAATATATAATATAATTTAGTAGTACTTTCCTCTATTCACAGTATCAATTTTTTAACAACATAAAAATAAATTATAAATTTGCATGATGAGCAATAGCAATTTGCATTTAGATAAAAACTACCTTCAAAATATAGTTTACTAATAAAAGAAATTTACAAAATGTAATTTAAGCATAGACTATCATCCGAATAAATGGAAACTAAGAATAAATTTCTATTAAATTGCTGGATTCTTCAGGCTATATTGAAACTATTAATTAATTATTAGAAATAGTTACACACAGTCTTGTGTTAGACAAATATTGTTTAAACAATGAAGCCCTGAGGAACATATAGGCTAACCCCCAGAATCACGTCTCTGAAGTAACAGAGTTTTAACATTCAAAAAAGTCCTAAAATCATATGAACAGTTGTGTATTAATATTTTTGCTCTCCAAACATTGCTTGTAGATGTGACTATCATTTCATCATTTTGGGATTATTCATTTTAGCAATTTTTTTTTCAAACATTCAAATTCAATTATCTCAGAAATGTGATTACAAGGGTTAGCACTATAGGTCCCTGAGAGCTTCAATTAATTAGTAGCCTCAATATAATCTGAAATATCTAGCAGTTCTTTCATTGATTAATAATTGGCCATGATGATTGTTTATGCATAAAAATAAGTGTATTTTCATATCTAGACAGTTTAAATTTATCAAATTTTCTGTATATTCTAACAATTTTGTGAAAGCTTTAATAAATGCATAGATCACATGAAAGATATAGTAATCAATATAAAAACTAATTTGATTTTATATATCCATATATTTAAAATATACAGTACTGAATACTTTTATTAATAAAAAATAATATGTAGATGTTTAGATATTGACAACTTCCTTTTTAAGTAAAAATTTGATAAGACTTATTTATTCTATAAATAATTTTTAAAAATTTATATAGGGTGATTCAAAAAGTCTTAGACAAACTTTAAAGGTACATCAGGAATACAAAAGCAAACCATTTTTACCTAGGAACATATAGCTGCAAATGCCACCTAGAGTTACTAGAAGTATACAAAGAATCACACAGAAAGGAATACATGTAAAGTACACAATATGTTTATTAGAACACAGGTATCCCTTGATTAACACAGTTAATCATTTGATGCTATCACATATATCAAAATAGTGTTAATCAAATACAGAAGTACTTTGGTTCTTGATCAAACAATCACCCACTAAAACAAATTTTTGGTTAACAACAAATATTTTTATTTTAATAAATAAAAATAGAAAATTTACCAACACCTTTTTTTTTTGCTGAGAAAAACATATCTACATTAAGTAAAGACAGCTGTTAAAGCAGTGTTAATTAAAATTTCTTTCACATATAAAAAAGATTGCCGCAATTAATTTCACTTCATTAATCAAATCCTGTGTTAAGCAAGGGATACCTGAATTAAGGTGGTGTTTGCAGCTATATGTTCCTAGGTAAAAAATAATTTGTTTTTGTATTCCTGACCTACCTTTAAAGTTTGTCTAAGCACTTTTGAATCACCTTGTATATCAACTTATTAAGGTGATAACATAAATAAATTTTTATATAAATGTTCAAGTTAATATATTACATTATAATATGTGAAATAGTTTACAAATAGTTACATAAATAAAAGCTGATCTAAAACTATTAGCATTCCTACTTACATAATTCAGTTAAGAGTTGTGTTTGAAATTTTTATAATAGTTTTGATTTTTGTAAATGCCTCAAAATTTACAGATCATTACATTACAAAAAGAAACAGTATTTTGCAGAGCAAGCTCAATAAATATAATTAATATTTAGGTTATTATATCTATCGAAAAAAGTAAAGCAATTTGATTTACCTGGAACAGTTACAGTTGGAGATTCTGACATTCCAGGCATTGGTTGATAATCATGTGGTCGTCGAATTTTCAAACTCTGTCCTTTAAAATTAATACCATCAAATGCCATTGCCTGAGTTGTTTCATCAATTGATCTGAACTAAAGGGATAAACATTAACAAAAATAAAATAAAATAAAATGTTTTTATTTATTTATGCTTAACATATTTTAAAAATTCAAAAATTACTGTACATATAATTTTATTATAGAAATTTTACTTTTGTAATTTAATACAATAGAACCATGTAAACTTGACTTAGACTGTGTTCATACAGCAGACAACAACTAAATCCAATGTTTTTATTGTTTGTCTTTGTGATGAACAGTAATTGTCTGTGTGAAGAGTAATGAAAATCACATTTGAGAAATAAAGAACATTGAAGAGTTCATAATGGAACCTAAAACTGATCTGACAACAGAAGAACTCCAAGAACACCAACATTCCAAATGCTATTGTCAAACTTCTAGGCTTACAGGAAAGTTCCACTAAACGTCTGATGTACATGTTTTCGCGTTTAAAACTTTGGTCTCAACCTCACTACTGTTTAAGCCAACTTCAAATTTAAGCTGCAGCAGGAGTTTAAAATTGAAAATAATAATAAAAAATAAAAATGATTTTATATATATCTAAATATATAAAATTACTTGTCCTGACTGATTGATTCATCATTGCCCAGGGCAAACTGCTGAACCTAGAGGTGAAATTTGGTACACAGTTAGGGTATGCCATGGAAATGCACACTAAGAAGGGATTTTTCGAAATTCCCCAGCAGGGGCAGAGGGAGAGCATTAAGGTATAACTGGAAGAACGGCTTCTACTGTACTATTTTAGATGCAATTTTTTGTTTTTAACTGTTTAGTCTTCATTGAGTACTTAGGTGTATTTTCAGATATTGTTATAAATATTTTTATATATTTTGATTTTTTAACCAAATGTTCAAACTGTTTTAAACTCAAATTTGTTATTGCATATTGGTTCGATTATAGAACAATTGTAAACATTCCAGAAAATTGATCAAATTGAAAATAGTTTGTTTGATTCTCGGCAATTCTCATCATTCTCAGCGGTAGGTGTTATATCATCAATTGCATGGTATAACCTTTCCTTCATGGCTCTTCAACAACATACATTGTTTTTGTCAATCATAAATCTTTTACTGGCTGTGCAATTTCCAATTTCTTTGATGCACAATATAACTTTTCTTTTGACTACAGCATCATATGTAAAACATTTTTCCATTGTTAGTAAGTATGAATAATAATAAAATTTTAAATTTGATTCTACACAGCTGCTATCAAACAGCAACTGCATTACATCAGAAAAATGTGAATGGGGAACCACCAAGTAAACTACTATCAACAATTGTAATACTCTGCATATGCACAGAGTGTAAAGCAAAGACCCAATTGTTGAGGAGTAAAAAATTGGCAGAAATAAAAAGTTAAAATATTCACTTTGAATTTAAGCTGCACCCTAATTTTATGTCTTAACACTCAAAATAAAAAGTGCGGCTTAAATTTGAAGTAATGAGGTATCATTATTACAGAGTCCTGTCCTGTGTATGCCACCTTAAAAAAAAAGTCAATTTTAATGATTTTAATCAAGTTTTTAAACATGAGTCATAAGACGGCTAAATCCAAAATTTAAAAAAATTTATTCAAAGTATTAGAACTTTATAGTGGTCTTCATACAAAATAAAGGAGACAAAACTGAATACAACACAAGCCAAATAACTACTGGATTAAATTTGGCTATATTACCTCTACTATTAATAATTAAATTGGCCTAAAGGTAGGCATTAGACATTATCTCTTATTACATTTATTAATAGTAGTGATAACATTTCCCAATTTAATCCAGTAATCATATGGCTTTAATATAACTATAAGGCTTAAAGATTTTTATATATGTATATACACCATTCCAAAGTAAAGCAATAGCCAGCTGAATGCCTTTACAGGTGATTATAGGGGACTGTCATCCCAGTCAGCACCTTGCGTAACTAGTATGACTATATCTAAATTAAATGTCTGGAAATGAAGGACCAGATAGAAGTCCAAGTAATGTAAACGGCAATGCATCTGCACAGTATGATATAGTTGTGGGTTCAAGTCCCATTCTGGGTCAATTCTTCTAGAATTTTCTAAATTATTTAATAAAATATTAATTTAATTATAATTATTAAATTTAATAAGAGATGGTACCTAACACCTACTTCCAAATTACTCAGTATTTAATTATTGATAGTAGTGGTAATGTAGCCTGAATTAATCTGGCAATTATTTGGCTTTAATATAACTATTAGAGATGTTTATATATGTACAGTGTACAGTACTAGGTTTATTTTTGAACTTATGTTTTTAACTACAGTGATTGACATATTCTAATAATACTTTTAACAATTTCCAATATAAAATGTTAGTTCTTAGTAATTATTATTTTAGAACAACATAGAACATTGACAAATAGTTATAAATCTCTTCTAGATAAATAGGTGATATAAAGAAAGATTTGGAAATTTTTCTCATTTTATACATTAACCTATCAGTGATAGTTATACCTGGCATTATCAATCTCAGTGATTCTTGATGCATGTTCAAGATTTTGAACTAAATTATCAAAATATTATCTGTACACAAAAATATTTTGATTTTGACTGTTACTGTAATTTCATCTATTCAATTTAATAAAATATATACTTAAAACTGAAACTAATTAGACTAGTATATCTAAACATCAAAACTGTTTTAAATAAAAACTATAACTTAAAAAGTAGACACAAGGAATGCCAAATCTGTCTGCTAGTGAGTTATATAAGAATTTAATCTATTCATGAAGTTATAAATATATATAAAATATAAAATCACTTATCGTAATATATAAAATTAAAAACATTACTTTTGTAAAACAAAATAATCTATAAATAACTGAATTTTAATAATAATAAAATAATAACAGATAAAAATTTTTAAATCTTTGTATCAAATTTAATAAATGACAATTACCTCCAGAAAAGCAAAATTTTTATCTAAATTGATCTGACATGCTAAAACTGGATTTCCTGGTGCTTGAGAAAATCCACAAGCATGCATTTGTGTATTGAAAAAGTCCATCATTTCTTCCTACAAAAATAAATATAGTATAAAAATCTATAATAGCTGAAACATATATAAATTAAAAACAACATACCATGCATACAAAATTTCCAGCAAGTAATACATATTATTTGCTGAAAATTTTGTATGCATGATATGTTGTTTTTAATTTAAATATATTAATTTAATTTTTTTATTATTTATGCTGGAAAATTAAAACTAAAAATTTTTTTATACAAACCAATATATATTATGACAAATAAAAAAATCCATCAAATATAAATTAAAATAAATTTATTTTAACTAATATTGGGATGATTCATAAATAAGTTCTTTTAGAGGGTAGGTGTAAATGACTGTCAAATACTTGCCAGATGTTATGGATACGTTCGTAAAGTCGAACGAGTTAAATGAGAATGACGTCATCGTTATTCTTATTTCGTTAGACTTTTCGAACGATTCGTTTAGAACTAAATGGCTGTTTCTAAAATCGAAGATACAAATGTTGCTAGTACAGCCTTATCCGAAATATTTTTCTTAGATTGCTTCGGGTGGACAGTTACTCCAATCATTTCATCTTTTAATTCACAATTTAAACCCTCGAGTAGATTTAGAAACATCGATATCGTCGGGCGCCATTTTCTTAACGAAGTAAACCAACTCTTTCCTTCGTGAACTTTGTTAGAGTTTCGTTCGAAACGTCATCACCGCAGAGCATGCACACTGAGCGAGACTACTACTTTTCGAACGATTCGTTACTAACGCGTTTAACTCGTTCGACTTAACGAACGTACCCTATGTTGCTTCAACTGAGTTTTATTAGTGGCTATTAGCAAATAGTCTGTAAATGTAAATTTTAACACTGAAGTGTCAATAATGTATTAAAAAATTGTTTTTGAATTCATTTAAAATGGAACATTTGAAAGTGCATGTATGCCATATCATGTTGTGGGAGTTTAAAATCGGCAATAATGCCACAGAAACAGCAAAACAGATTTGCAATGTCTATGGCAGTGGTGTAATTTCAGTCAAAGCAGTTCAAAAGTGGTTTACAAAATTTCATTCTGGTGATTTGTCGTTAAAAGATGAAGATCAGGCCACTCCTCAGACTTCGATGATGACATTTTAAAGGTTCTGATTGAGCAGAATCCACGACAAACAATGAGAAAGTTAGCAGAGAAGCTGCACACATCCAAATCAACCATCAATTGTCACCTCTAAAAACTAGGAAAAGTAAGCAAGCTGGGAGTTTGGGTTCCACATAACCTCAGTGAACAGAATAAAGCTGACAGAAGGTCGATAGCTGCCTTGCTTTCTTGACAAAAAGAATAATCTTTTTTAGCTAAAATTGTTATGGGAGATGAAAAGTGGATCACATACAAAAATGCCATTTGAAAAAGGCAAATAGTTGACAAAGATGATCAGCCACAATCGGACCCTAAGCACAGTGTGCATGGAAGAAAAATTTTGTTATGTGTATGGTGGAATCATCGAAAAATTATCCATTTTGAGCTGTTGCCATAAATGAAACTGTTACTGCAAATGTATACATATAACAGTTATAGCAACTTTGGCTAAAACTTCAAGAAAAGCATCCTGCACTTGTTAACATAAAAAAAGATCACCTTATTGCATGATAATGCAAGGCCACACACAGTGCAGATTACACAGGAAAAAATTTTGGAGTTTGGTGGTCTGTTTTACCTCATCCACCAAATTCACTAAACCTGCCACCAACAGATTTCAATCTTTTCCGAGCACTGCAGAATGCTTTACAAGGACAATGCTTCCAAAAGGATGACCAGGTTCAGGAGTTCATCCAAGAGTTTTTTGATTCAAAACCACCAGAATTTTATGCAATGGGGAATTGATAACTTGCCCGAAAAATTGCAAGAAGTCATTTATAATGACAGTGAATATGTATTAGATTAAAGTCTACTGTTGTACATTTTATTGGTAAATAAATTTCATTTTAGAAAACAGAACTGATTTATGACTCAAACCAATAATTAAGATATAGGCATGTAAAAAATAAATTTAATGACTTCTGATCAGATTGATTGTTAAACACACAACAACAATAATAAATAAATGTAATTATTTATTTGAAAAATAAAGTTATTAACTACAACATACCTCAGAACAACCAAAAGGAATGTTCCCAACATAAAGCCGACGAGCCTGCCTTGTAATTGTACTTCCTACAATAGGAACAGGCGCAGCACCCGGTGCTGCCAATAATGTTGCAGGAATCTGACCAGCAGCTAAATTATTTTAAAATTTATTTAATAAATATATTTGTATTAGATATATTTTAAATCTATTAAAAAGGATTAAGAAAAACTATTCTTAACTTTTTGTATTTACCAAAGTTGGGCTATTTAAAATTATGTAAATTTTGATAAAACTCTGATAAAAATTGTAGTTATCCTCTTCACTTTTTAACTTTTCATTCGATGTGAATGTTAAAATAACCATAAACCAGTATTCAAAAACTTTAAAACCATTACTTTATGCTATGTTCTTTATTTTTCTCATAAATAGATTTTGATCTTTTGATCCTAATCAGTATGTTATTAAACATTGTAGGACACAGTTTTGCCTATTAGGAAGTTGGGAACAAATATATTGTATTTTAAAAGATTTTTAAGAAATAAACAAAAACAAAAACACTGAGTTTGGCGTTATATGCGTTTTATTATCGCTAGTACTTTCGACGAGCTTATTGTCGTCGTCCTCAGGCGATTTAGACAAAAAATAATCGAACACAAAATAGAACGCGTAATATAAATTGAAATTGTGCTAAAGCCGTTAAGAACACGTAGAAAGGACACTTGCAACACCCCTACCCTTGAGCTGCCCAGTGTATGGGTCACGTTGTATAAGCGATTAAGCGAGTACTCGTAGTCTCTAGAATGCATGCAGCGAGAGCATAGCTCTGCGCATGCGCCAGCTCGCACTTCACGGAGCTATCTGCTCGTTCGGCTTTCGAATTATGTTTAAATTTCTACGTGTTCTTAACGGCTTTAGCACAATTTCAATTTATATTACGCGTTCTATTTTGTGTTCGATTATTTTTTGTCTAAATCGCCTGAGGACGACGACAATAAGCTCGTCGAAAGTACTAGCGATAATAAAACGCATATAACGCCGAACTCAGTGTTTTTGTTTTTGTTTATTAATTAATTTTGGCGTGTTAGTCAACATATTGTTTACTAAAAGATTTTTAAGAGATGATTATGTGCCTAGAACATTGAGACTGTCAAGAAATATTACAAAGGTAATACAAAAGCATGATGCTAAAAAATAGAAAAAGATATAGTAAGATCAGCTATTAGATATAAACTTAAGAAGACACAATTAATAAGAATGAGGATTAAAAAATTAAATTTAAAAATAAATAATTTTCAGATAGACAAAATAAAAGAGAATACATACAAAAAAAAAAACAACAAAAGTTAAAATAATTATTTGAATATCCTACAAAAGATGAAAAAAATAAATGGGGAAATAATATAATCTTAAATACAGAAATAAATATTCCATTGCAGATAAAGAAAATAATAATAAAAGGACAAGATTTTTGTAATCCAATAAATAAACCAGCATTATCCATGATTAATACTAAAAAAGAAATGTTTTTGCAAGTACTTTTGACCTTTTCAAAAACGTCTTCATCAGGCAAATGACAAAAGAACATTGTTTGAACGTTGTTATAAAATTTTAAATTTTTAACATTGGCTCATTCTGTATAAACTAGCAGCAGTAATAGTAACAAAGGTAGAAAAATTATTTCAAGATATTAAGATCAAAAGTGAAGACAAAGCAATTTTTAAAAATTAAATTATTAAAAACTTAAGTAGGTTAAAACAATAAAAACACAGCAACATAAAAATAAAAAATATGATTATTTAAATGAAAAAAAATAGTTAATAAGTTTTTAATAAATAATGATTTATCTATAATTCAAGCAGATAAAACAAAACAACTAGTGTTGGTCACTAATCAATGGTTACAACAGAAGAAAGAAGTAGTTATAGAAACTGGAAACTATGAAAAGTGGGAAAAAAATCCAACATTAAAAAGAAGCCGAAAAAGAATATTACAAAACTTTATAAAGAAGAACTTATAATGAAAAATGTGAAAAGCAAGATTTTGGACATTAATATTAAAATACCAATTCTAAAATTAAGAAGTAAAAGACACAAAATAGGAGATAGTGTGACCTTTAGTAGATAGTAAACTAGGCTGTTTATATAATCTAAAAAAAAGATTTAAAAATTAATGTACTAAGTAGGCTGGAACATTAGAAATATAGTATTCAAAATACAGACATGTTAATTAATAAATTAAGATATTAATAATGAAAAAACTGGCAATTATAGGACTAGATATTAGTTCCATGTATCCATCAATAACAAGAGAATTTATTTATGAAACATTAAAAAAAGAAGAAATAATAAAAGAATAGAAAATAGAATTAGTAAAATTTGTATTTGAAAACAACTACTTCCAATATGGCAAAGAGAAATTCTGTATGCAGACAGATAGAATTAACATGGGCAGTGAAATTGGACCAAAGCTAGCTGAAATAATTATGATATCAACTGATGAAGAAATAAATAAAATTAAAGGTATTACTCATTATTTCCATCGATATATTAATATTATACGATAAGGAAAAATTAAAAACATAGAAATATTAGAAAAACAAATTAATAATATAAATTCTTGAAATCAAGTAGTTGTTCAGAAGAATTTTTCACTGAATATACAGTAAGGGATGTATTATAGATTCCAGGGAAACCGAGCAGTTTTTACTATAGCTTATAGTGACTGTAAATAAAAATGTTCAGTTCCCTTTTGAGCATGCACATGCACTGTGCAATAAATGAATTGGATGGAACATAACACCTAGGTAACAAAAGTGAACAGTCATTGCACATGTGTGTGGTCATGCGTAATAAATGGATTGAACAAAGCATGCGCATGCACATGCGCAATGAATGGATTGAACAGATCATAATCTCAAATATATAATGTCTGATAGACACACAAAAGTCCTAACATAAGTACAGTACTTCACTACTATAATGGAGCATGTTAAAAAACACTTATAGAAAATATTTACTTAATGATTATCCTAAGATTATTCTTAAAAAATGGCAGGATGAATATGAAAAAATAGATATTATGTGAAAAATAAAAAAACTGGATAAATTTTATAAAATTCCATATATTAAAGGACTGTTTGAAAAACAAAAAGAAAAATTTAAACAAGTAAGACATCAATTGAACCACTCACTTGCCAAATCAATTAACTCCATAAAACAAAAAGTGTAAAAACTGATAATATAAATTTTTTTTCAAAATTCCTTTTAAATTTAAATAAACATTGTAGAATGAATCTTTATATACCATTATATTAAAGCATAGCTTTAATGTAATGATATATAAAATTAGTTACGTGAAAAATGTAAAAGTAATAATAATTATATTAAGGATTTACAAATGAAGTTAATCAATTTTGGCCTGTGAACGACCAATTAATACCTATATTAACCAATAAACTAAAATTTACAGGCAGGAAAAAGTAAAAGCAAAATAAAGAAGAAAAAATAATAAAGGAATTTATATAGAAGAAACAGGTATACAACTTAAGACTAGAGTTAAAGAACATTTAACAGCATTACAACTACATCATTGATTACTTTGGATAGAACATCAAAAGAAATGTCAATGTATAATAGATCAAAATAATATTAAAATAATATCATTTGAGAGAAATAATTAAAAAAAAAAGGAAAATAAGAAAACATTTTGATGTTATAAAAAATTTAAAACATAAAAATGTAAATTTACTAAACTTAAATACAGATATAAATGTGTTGCCAGAATGGTATAAGATTGTAGATGATGCATACAAAGAAACTTGAATGTCATGGGAAAGTTTTGTAAAAGCAACAGTTGTACGTTGTTTAAAAAAATATTATATACCTATCCATTTTTAGTTTTATGATAGTATTTATTGTTTACAGGCAAAAACTATCCTATGATGTGTAATAACATACTGATGAGAATCATAAAATTGAAATGCATTTATGAGAAAAATAAAGAAAATAACACAAAGTAATAGTTTTAAAGTTTTTTTTAATACTGGTTTATGATTGTTTTAACATTCACCTCAGATGAAAAGTTGGGAAAGTGAAAACAATAACCATAAATTTTTATCGAAGTTTTATCAAAATTTATAATTTTTAAACATAATTTAAACTGGATACATTTTAATAATAATGATTATCATTATAATAATATTTAGTGTTAAATGAGAAATAACCATTTAATAACTACAATTCTTCTTTGTAATATTATGTTTAATCTTAGTATCACAATACAAAAAATTGCAATGTATTGGAATAACCTAAACATTCAAATTATCTCAAGTATCCAGTTAATAAATAGTTGTTAGGTACTTGTATACATGTACTGTATCTCCTGCATTTAACACAAAGATTATTATTTTAAAATCTGTTATGAAAATTTTACCTTGCATGGCTTTATACTGCAATGGAGTTATGTGTTCAAATCCTGGAGGAGGAATATCCCAATAAAGAGAAGGTTTCCTACGTCGTGATCGCCTCCTATCTCGGCTTCTGCTTCTGCTTCTACTGCTACTCAGAAGGATATTTTAATTAAATTAAATAGTGACATATTTAAAAAATAATAAGTTAATAATACCAAATACAAATAATGCACATTGAATTGGAAAAAAAAGTTAATTTAAATATAATCATGATCATTTAGACCAGGGTTGTCCAACCTTTTTTCCTAATAGGCCAAATTAGAAATTCACATATATTCAGCAGGCCACAAAAGTACCTTATATAAATATATGCCTTTAAAAAGTTCAAACTGTGAATATCAAATTTTAATAACATACTAGCTTACCCGTCACGCATTTCTGCAATCTCAGAAGAAAGGAAATTCAAGCAAACACGTTATGATAAAATTCAATTTACATTTTATCATTTTTATTGAAAAATAATTCTCCATCGGACGAAAATTTACTAACAAATTTATATAATTACATAAAATACTGTATTATTGACAGTAAACAAATTATACTCACACAAAATAAAAATAAATTCAATGTGATTTTTGACATTGCCTTCCTTTTCATAATATTGTCAATATCTGCATTTATGGTACTAGTCTTAGTTCTAAGAATATTAGTTAAATGGGAATCACTCAACCTATTTTTTCAACAGTTTTCATGTTTTTCATGCGCAAAAAGAATTGTTTACAACAGTATGTTATGCATGTGGGCTAGTACAGTTTTCTAGCACCAATTACATTATTACGACATCAACTTGTATCAAGTGAAACGAGAATAATTTTTAACAACATTCTTTACGAAAATAAATGAAAATGTACCTAGAAAATTTAGGATGCAGTGGTCGGCGGATTGGACTTCCCTGGTTTATACGGTCACATTAATGTTGATACTTGATTGTATCAACATTTTTATAATCCTTTTCTTTAGGATTGTATAAAGTGAGATATTTTTCTACTTCAATAATTTAATTTTCCTTTTTAACATACTTTCTACAATTTTTTCTGTCATGTCGTTCCTGATTTTGCTTTACTAATAAACTTTCAAGTTTGGAATAGGTGTAGTAAGAGAAAGTCATGGTTTTAGCCATTTTTGTCAACTTTATTGAATGTTTTTGTCTATTGTTTATTTTTTTATTAGTTTTTTAAAGTGTCAATAAAATATGTAGAAATTCATAAATGTAAAACAGAATTTTGAATATTTCATATTTTACAAAGGCTTTCTGTGAATTGAAAAATTATATTACAAAAATGTAAATTGATTCGTTTTTTGAAACCGTGTNTCACACAAAATAAAAATAAATTCAATGTGATTTTTGACATTGCCTTCCTTTTTTATAATATTGCCAATATCTGCATTTATGGTCCTAGTCATAATTCTAGGAATATTAGTTAAATGAAAATCACTCAACCTATCTCTTTCAGCAGTTTTGATGTTTTTCATGCATGAAAAGAATTGTTTACAACAGTATGTTTTGTATGTGGGGTAGTACAGTTTTCTAGCATCAATTACATCATTATGACATCAAAGTGTATCCAGTGAAATGAGAATAATTTTTACAACATTCTTTACCAAAATAAATGAAAATGTACCTAAAACTTTTAGGGTGCAGTGGGCCACATAAAAATATTAAGTGGGCCGCAATGTGACCCGCGGGCTGGACATCCCTGATTTAGACCAATTCAGAACTTTTTCATAATAATATAACAATACACAGCAACTAAAGATAACTACAAGGTAGAGTAAAATTTAAATGGGAATTGAAATGGCAGTTCATCATTTGATTGTTCTGCATGCTACAGATGAAAATTTAGTATATAATAACATGTTTTGACAAGCTGCATTAAGCAGGCTAACTGAGATACAAGAATACTACTCCAGTAAAAATAGTACAACAGATGGCTGCTTCTGAAATTTAAAAAGATTGAAATTGAAACAACAGATTAACATTAAATTTTGCTGCAAGCTTGATATATCTTGTAGCAAAATTCTAAAAATATGAAGAACTAGCAGTTACCCACGACTTTGCCTGCAGGGGTTTTGCAAGAAAACCCCATTTATATTCAGTATTTCAACCACCATAGTAACTGTTATATAATACCTACCGCTGAGAATTGCTGAGAATCAAACAAATTGTTTTCAATTTGATCAATTTCTGGAACATTTACAATTGTTCTATAATCAAACCAATATGCAATAACAAATTCGACTTTAAAACAGTTCGAACATTTGGTTAAAAAATTTAAATATATAAAAATATTTATAACAATGTCTGAAATGTTATCAATTTAATACACCTAAGAACTCAATGAAGACTAAATGTAGTTAAAAACAAAAAATCGCATCTAAAATAGTACAGTAGAAGCCATTCTTCAGATNAAATATATAAAAATATTTATAACAATGTCTGAAATGTTATCAATTTAATACACCTAAGAACTCAATGAAGACTAAATGTAGTTAAAAACAAAAAATCGCATCTAAAATAGTACAGTAGAAACTGTTCTTCAGGTTAAGCCTTAATCCTCTCTCTCCCCCCCATGGGGGGATTTCCAAATATCCCTTCTTAGTGTGCATTTTCATGACATACCCTAACCCTGTGTATAAAATTTCACCTCTAGGTTCAGCAGTTTGCTCTGGGCGATGATGAATCAATCAAGACAAGTAATTTTATATATTTAGATAAATCTATGATGAAGACTACAAAAAAATTCAATGATGATACAAAAGATGTGAAAGATGACCAACATCCAAGAAAATCTAGCAATGACAAGAAATGAAGAAATCAGTGTTACAATAGCTTCCGGCAAGACCATCAGCAATCAGCAGACAATTTGATTTACACCAAGGATCACTAATATGGGTCCACAAACAAGATCCACCATGACAATCAAGCTACAATGCATATGTGTTGTATATCAAGTTTTCAAATTCCAACATTATCAGATCAAGATTTCTATGCTGTCACAGACTCCTCCACTGATCTGGTTTCAGCAAATCACTTGATCACTTGCTAAAGGAGCATCTGAAGTCATTTTGCACCAGCACAAGAAGTTGACTGAGATAAGCTATCTGACAATGTTCAAAAAACAGGTTTTAAACTGCTTCCAGTCATGGTATGAATATTGATAAAAATATGTAATAAGTTGTCTCATACTTTATTATCAGTGATAACAAATGATTATTATTTCAAAGAAAACATATTTTAATTCATTATATCTATTATGAAAACATTGTTCTTATCCCATTTATTTTTGATTCTTGTGTGTGAGTGTGTATATATAATATATATATACAGAAAAGAATAATAATAAAAAATAATAATTCTCTTTTAAATATCCTTTTTTACATCACCATAAAAATAATACATTTCATTTATTTGAAATAAATTGTAGATGCTACAACAAAAAACTAATTGAATAGTTTCCTTTAATCAACACAAACAATTCCTATATATATATAAAGGAACTGCCATCATTTGAAAATGAATAATTCCAAAAGAATCATTTAGTTTTAGATGACGAATGCTACATTATGATGCTAATAATCTATAAAACAAACTAAATACTTTTTGTATATATCCAAAACCAATAAATAATATTTAATTTCTTATATATAGAATGGTCCAAACTTCAGTTAATCACAGTTTCAGTTGAATTTCAAACTGCTCAAACAAGCTATCAAGAAGTTAAAAAATGCATTAAAGCATTGTAATTTGTGTATTAAACTAGTAGTACTTCATTTTGGAAATTTTTTGTAAAAGTAGAGCCAAACAATTGCCATAATGTATTGGACTTTTTTTCTGCTATTATTAATAATTAAAGTTTTCAGTAATTTGGTATGAGATAGACTTTAGGCACCATAGCTTATTAAATTTAATTAATTATAATAAATTAATATTTTATTAAATAATTTAGAATATCCTGGAAGAAAAGAATCAGCCTGGAGTGGGACTCAAACCCACAATTCCTGCTTACCATGTGGATGCATTGCCAGTTATGTTATCCAGACCCCAAGTGATTCTTTCCTTCAGACATATTTAATTATCAATATAACCATCTATGGTTACTCATGATGCCAACTGAAAATGACTCCTATACCCACATCCTATATAATCATCCATGTAATATATATAATATATTTTTTCTTAACTCTTTCCGCCCTGTGGGCACCAAGAGGGCCTTCTTTTAGCAAGCCCATTATGGATTTGGCCAAGCCCACAATAGGGCAACTGAATGATAAGGGACAGGGGCCAACATATCCAGTTGGACTACCCCTTCGAAAAATTCCTGAGGATTTTTTTGAGCTGTCCGGATTCGATCCTGGGTTCCCCAGTGGTAGGCTGCTACCTTGACCGCTCGGCCATCCAGCCTTCATAATCACCTACTATGGCACTCAGCAGTTATCACTTTACCCCAGCAGGGTGTATATATACAGTCGACCCCCTGTAACACTGTTGATTATTCCATTTTATATGAATTCCATGTCGTACGAGTCACTTAGATTTTACAAATACGTGAGCCATTCACAGCCCAGCACACGTATTTGTAAAATCTAAGTGACTCATACAACATGGAATTCATATAAAATGGAATAATCAACAGTGATATAGGGGGGGTCGACTGTACTACATATATAAACATCTTAAATCCAATGTTATTAATCAAAGCCAAATGATTACCATAATGTATTGGGCTATTTTTCTGTTACTATTAATAATCAAATTTAATAAAATTATTCAAATTAAAATAAATTATATAAGCTATGGGCGTAAGAGTTGACTCAATTGGCATCATGAGTAACTGCAGATGGTTTTATTGATAATTAAATATCTGGAAGTGAAGAATCGCTTGGGATTCGAGTAGCATAACTGGCAATGCATCCAAATGGTAAGCAGGAGTTGCAGGTTCAAGTTCTGTTCCAGACCAATTCTTTTCTTATAGAATATTCTAAATTAGTTAATAAAAATTAAAATTATCTATATAATATATCTTATATATATATATAAGCAAAACACTACTGTATGTTCACAATTGCTGCAAAACTCAGTAGTAATGTTCACATAATTCTAACTTAGATAATGTTGTACATTCCACCCCTATTATGCCATTACTACAACAAGTAGCACATAAGACTTGCCTGTGTGGAGTAGTGTTTTGCTTCTGTATTTTTCCTGCAAGCAATAGAATTGTGCTAGTTATGTATCTATCTCCATTCAGGGAAAAATTGTTTCAAAATGACATGACATTTTTTCTGGTGATGACTTGCAGTGCAAAACTGGAAATTCGTATATAGTTAATCTGGGCCTCCTGCTCTTAAACTTCCTGTATCTGGCCTCGACTTTCATCTATCTTACTCCATTCTTGAGATTAAGAATGAACAGACTGTGGAAATTTATAGATCTACAATTTTTTCAAACTGTAACCCAATAAGTACCTTCCAGTAACCAAGTGGATGAAACCATTAAACTCCAATAGTCGGTCGTGGGTTTACATATTGGTAACAGATTGGCCACCTAAAATTTTCTGGGTTTTCTTCATATCAGTAACACCTAAATAGGGGCCAGCTTTAAATACAAGTCTTCCTAGAATGCATCCTCCTTTGGCAGATTGCTCATGTGTCGTGTTGCCATAACCAAATAAATCAAACCAATCCTATTCATTTTTCTATAAACACAATATTTACAAGGACATACTTCCCACATAGTTTATACAATCTGTTTTGAAAATATAAACACTTTATTACCACATAAAAGCAATTATTCTCACATTTTTACAAAATTTGTTTTATTTAAACAAGTTTTATGTGAAGTCTTTCGGAAGTTAAGGTTAGCAATTTCTCTCATGTGTGTGGCCATCACAACCTATCCAACAAAAATAACTTCAAATATTAATAGTAGGTAGGGTATTAAATATTAGGTATTAATTGTCATCATTGACTGTCCTCTCTTCCAAGAAGAGGTCAACTACTATTTTTGGTTGGATTACTTCAATCCCCTTCTGCAACAGTCCCAAATTTCTATTGGACCAACGGTATGGTGGCATTCGAATAGGAAAATTGCATAATACAAGGTTACCTGCCAGCAAAAAATATGTTTAAAGTGGTTTTCAGTTGTCAAGCTTAAATATTTGGTCTGTTTTTTTTTTCTTTCTTTCTTTTTTTGAGAAATTTGATACATTGGCAGACTATCATTTGATATTTGGCTGTGAATGATACAGTTTCTTAACAGTTAACATTATGTACATTATTGTATTTTTGATTCCTGTCTACTTGACCAATGAAATTCTGCCATTTCATTCCATCCGAGTATCATGACAAACACGACAATGGTAGGCTGAAATAACCAAGCTTTTTATATAGTTTTCACTTTAATGTTTGTTATATTATAGTATAGTAGAGCGTCGATTATCCGAATCAATTGGGGACTGGGGTTGTTCGGGTAACTTAATTTTCGGATAACCGATTATGTACGAAAAAATATATTAACCTATCCCATGTTGAAATTTTTCTCCATTGCGTGTCGCTTCACGTTGAATTTTCGTCGATGTTAAGCCTAACGAAGACTATTCTATCGTTAAAAATTATTTTTTTATTTTGTATGAACAAAATAAATATATTGAAAAATATAAAAACAATAAAAAAATTATACTTCAGAAGTTAATTTAGTATCAAAAACGTAACATATTTGAGTAGCCCAAGACATAGCCAAAGATTGCAGTGCCACAGCACTGGTGAAAATTTAAATTTGCCGACTGGAATTCTTTCGGATGATTGACTTTCGGATAATCAACGCTCTACTGTATTTAATTTATATAACTACAAAGGTAATCTTATGTAAGGGTTAATCACACTGAGTGACCAATCTAACACATTTTAAATTCTTTCTTCCTCTACTGTACACACAATTTAAAGAATTTTTAAAATGTGTTAAGATTGGTCAGTTGGTATGATAAACCCTTATGTAAGATAACCTTTTAATTATAAATCAAATACTATAATATAATGTAATAGAAAGGTTAGAAATACAAAATAATCTAATAATCTTAATGCTAGTTCTTATTTTTGCCCAGGCAACACTGGGCTTAATTGCTTGTTTATTATGATTATTAAATTTAATAAGAGATGGCACCTAACGCTTACCCGTAATTCCAAATTACTTAAAATTTTTAATCATTAAATATATATGACTTATCACTTGATAATTTACTCAAGTAACAGTAAACAAGACATTAACCCGAATTATCAGTTTAAAAAACTAAATATTTTATTATACAGCCATCTATTGGGTTGTTCGGAAAGTAATTTCATTTTTTTCCTGTGGAAAAAAAACAATATTTTTATAATAAATAAATATTTTATTGAATTATATATTGACCATTTTGGTCAAATACCTGTTATCGTTTCTGGTAGTAGCATGATTTCATATTCATAAAAGGTTTGATCGTTGCTTACAAAAATCTGATCCACATGATTTTTGACATTGTCATTTCAAGTAAATGTCTTACAGTTAAAAAAAATTTGTATAGACCGGAACAAGTAATAATCTGAGTGTGCTCGATCTGGCAAGTATGGTTGGTGCAATAGCACCCCATCTAAGTTATAACAGTTTCTGACGAGTTACCAAACTTGTGTGAAATTTGACATTATTGTGGTAAAACACTACACCTGTTTTGTTGAGCAATTCTGGCTGCCTTTTCTGTTTGATGATATTACTCAATTTGTTTACTCGATGGCAGTACTCTTTTGAATCAATTGTTAAATTGTCTGGTAAAGCTCAAAAAAAAATTTCCTTAAAATCCCACCAAAGATAGCATCTCTCCTTAAGAACATGTGGAACCCATATATCAAGCTTTGAAACAAAACCAATTTGTTTCAAGTAATCATAAACAGTTCAATTTGACAAATTTAATTTCTTAGTGATTTCACATGTTATTCGGCAGTTTGCTTCAATCAGTACCTTTTATTTTATTTTCATTGGCTTCAACTGGCCATCCAGAATGTGGTGCATCTTCAATATTGAAATTGCCAAAACAAAATTTTGTAAACCAGTTTTGACACTGTTGTTCTGTCAATACATCTTCTCCATACACATCACGCAATTTTTTTCTTGCTTGAACAGCATTCTTACCTTTTCGGTAATAAAAGAGCAAAATATGCCGAAAATGCTGCTTTCCATCTTACATATTTGATGGGACACAAAAAATAAACAAAATTTTTTACAAGTAAGCCTTAAAATGCTAGCTGTCAAAATATATAATGATAATACGGTTTAGAATAAAATTGGTGGGAAAAATACGAGCAATCCATCTAGAGGTAAAAAAAAAAAACAAACTTTTGAAATTACTTTCCAAACAACTTAATAGCTTATTAAATTAAAAGGTTAATTTATATCACAGTATCTACTGAATGTAATAAGAAATTTGTAAATAATTTCATAGTTTGCAAATATATAAGCAAGGTGTGGTGTAAAGATTGGATAATCTGTTACCCGAGGATAGGGGACATCATGACGGTTCAGAAAATTAAACATTGTCAGGAGTAAAGATGAATAGCAATAGGAAAAGTAAAGTTTTTGAATTGAATTCTAGAATGAAATTCCAAAATCACACGGGAGCATGATAAGTTTTAATCCATTTCCATGTGAAAACAGATGATTATTTGGAAATCAGAATTTGAAGAAACTCTTAAGTGTAATTGACAGAGAGTGGATTCGATTGTTAAGAATTGGCAAAAAAAGGTTCTCATTTGTCCAGCTTTACATGAACAAATTATGTTGTCGATTTTACAAGATTTTTCCTTAAAGTTTAAAATGCCAGTAATTTTTGCAAGACAATGTGTGTATTTACGTTCATTTGATATTTTACTTGTGATTAAACAAAATAAAATTAGAATTGTATTAATAAATCAAATTTTCTTTTTTTTTATCCTTAAAGTCACACCTTGTTTTTTTGCGAGGTTGTCTTATATGCGAGTAAATACGATATTTGTGAACTATGAAATTATTTACAAATTATTTAATATGTATATACAGTATAATTCACATAAGATCTTAAAATTTAGTAGTAATAAAAATCATTAAAAATATATGTAAAGTTGGATTCATACAATCTGGAAAATATAGCTCAATGAGATGCAAATAGTTTAAGTGAAAATATGCTTGCCTAGCTTAAATATTGTAAATCTGAGTTTCAATGCAAAATTTTTTTCACACAACTCTAAATTAGTTAAAAATTATAATAGTTAAAATAATTATCAGCATACAATAATGACATAGCAATTATGAACGATTCTAAACATAAATAAATTAGCTAAAATAGAAGTAACCTAAAATGTATAATCCAATAATTTAGCATTTATTAATTACCAATGAGACTGTTTTGAAAATTAATAAATTTTATTATTGTTCCTTTTCATTCATTTAAAGGCTTTAAGATTAATGATTATTTGTTTAGTCACATATTTATTAAAATAATATATAAATATTTTTAGTTTTATAATGTAAATCAATTTCATAGATTTAAAATATTTAAAAATTAATAATAATAAACAATTTAATTATTTCTTAAGAATTTAATCAACACCCACGCTTTCCTTTTATCCCTCGAACGAGAACGAGATCGTCTCAATCTTCTATCTCTACTTCTTGAACGTGACTGAGATCTTGATCGACTTCTTTTTCTATCTCCACGACGTCTATCTCTACTTCTATCTTTATCTAAAAAACATAAATAAAATTTTTAAATTATTAAAATATAAGAACAACTATACTATCTAAAATCAAAACTACAAAAAAAAAAAAAATAACATTTTTGTCTGAAATAAAATGGCAGTGCTAATTTTGATATTAAATTTACTGCTGGAGTTACAAAGTGCTCTGTTTGTTCTGTTACTTATTCTCTGATTAGGTCTTATTTATTCAGTACTGATTCATATTGCAGTTATACGAATCAAGTATATTAATAATAATAATAATAATTCTTTCTTGCATAGACATCATACCATATATACTACGAAAACTCTCAAACCATTAAGGTTTTACTTCACAATAGCACATACATAACACTACAGAAGGCTGCCATACTAAACATATCACATAATTAGGAAATTCTTAAACACACACATTTATACAAACAGCACATGAACAAAACATTTTTTCTGCAGTTATATCTTGACTTTGCATTAGCACTAGGCACCAGTATGCCAAGGAGGAAATACTCCAACACCACAATGATAATGACAACAATGATAATAATTAGTATTAGCTATACTTATAAAATTGATATTATGTAAAACAATAAACAGTAGGTGCCACTTATAATCACTTTGGGACTAGCATATAAGTATATGCTAGTACAATAACTGATGATAATAACAAAATGATAGCATTATGTGATGAAACCAAGTGATTAGACCACAATTAATTAACGAAAATTCTAATTTTATTGAATAGTTCATCCAGTGTTACTCACCAGCTTTTTTTTTTACAATACTTCATTAATATGCTCATACTAATAATGTTTTCAAAATTTAACATATTTTTAATGCAAGCCACAACAAAGTACTCACAGAGCTTCTTGCATCAGAGCATTTGTTGAAAGATCTAAACTAACTTATTTTCATGTTGATTTTCTCAATTTCTTCAGATAATTCTCCAGAGCCTTCTTCAATAATTTGGCACATTTCTGATGATATCATCATAGTAGATACCGGAATTTCCTTGTCAATTGCCAACCAGATTTTTAACTTTTGACATACCTTTTAGATTATTACTTATGATTTCCTGTCCAACAGACAACTTCATATTCAAATGTCTCCATGGGACCTATTCTGAGCTCTTCCAATAACTCAAGGAAAGCAATACACAAGACATTTGATCAGTCTCCTTAGCGAAAGCAGTTAACAAACCTTAAACAAATTGCTATTCTCTGCTCTTTATTAAGTGGGTTTTGCTATGGGTAATCAGTTGAGATGCATCTGGGTTCCATGCTATCAATAGCTGTTACACTTTAACCAATCACAATTTAGTTAGCATTGTCTTTTTCTCACATGACTACAACCCGCTGTTTTCCAAGCGAAGCATATTTTTGGTATTGTCATGTACCAATGCTAGCCAAATATTTGTGTTAAAATGTTATCAAAGAAAGAACAATGCAGCCAGCAAACTACAACTTATCAGTTTGAGATGTTAGTTAAAACACCTTAGTTTTAGCCAGGGCTGGATTTAGGCATTTTGAGGCCCTAAACTGAACTCTATATGAAGCCCCTTAACCAACCCTTTACAATTCTAGAAGTCATTCATATAAAAAAGAGAATTAACATAAAACATATTAATTTTAATAATAAATATTTTATTGTTAAAAAGTATTTGCAACAAATTATAAAATAAGGTACAATTTAAAAAGGGTAACACTAAATTGTCATTTTCATAATTTTTTGATGGCAAAAAAAGCTTTTACATGATTAGCTGACAGTTCTTAAAACACCTGACATTTACCTGATCTATCTGACCTAAGAGACACCTTGCTTAATGAAGTTCATAATTTTAAAAACAGCAGTCATAACATGGCTAAAACAAAATAACTGAGGAAAGACAATGCTGATGCAGTGGCATATTACAACTTTTTAAAAGCAAAAAAATTGATTTGTATACTTATTTTTTTTTTATTAATTTTATTACATCAAAGCACACTACTACGAAAAAATCAAAATTCCTTTAAAAATTAACCAAAACTGTTACAATTACATACTTTTTAATTTTGCTACATTAAAACACATTTACTACTTAAATGGCAATTTAAAAAAATGCTATGCTTAATTTCCTTCACTTGAAATAACTCACATTTAAAAGTTGCATGCAAAACATTGATGACTACAATAATTCCTCTCAAACCTACAAAACTGAAAAACTCTACAAGAAATGACAAAACTAACCTTCGATTCAATACATGCATCTACATATACAGGATGAGTCAAAATTACATGAACCATCTTGGGTGAGTCAAAATTATGTGAACACTATTTGAGAGAAAGCATTTACTTCAAGTTTGAGTTATACAGAGTCTCAACCTGACCACCAGCACAATTAATGCACTCATACCAACGTTCAACAGTACAATTTAGTGCCAGAACACCGGAGATTGGGGAGGCAATAACAACAGTCCGTTGCGACCAATCGGAATAGAAAAAACAAAATTAAGATGTTTTATTAATAATATTTAATTAAAAATTAAGATTGTTCAAATAATTTTGACTTACCCTGTATTACTCTACACACACAAAATTCATGACCTACAAATTGATTTGTTACAATTCCATCTTGGCTTTTAAGGAACTTAAAATAACTATATTATTATTATTATTATTAATTTTCTTTTCAGCACGCTCCACTATAGTGGTGAAGTGTTTATGTTAGGACTTCTGTCAGATTTCCATGTACAGTATATGTTACACAATAACTTCACTTTTGTTACCTAAGTGTTATGTTCTGTTCAATCCATTCAACAACTGCTTGATTCCAAGAATTTATAAAATTATTTATTCTTTTAATGATATGAAACCGTGCTTTAAACTTTGTTGCTGCTTCGAACACAATAAAGTGCTATAAATTAAGGCACTTATTTATTCTTATTAAAAATAAGTAATTTTGAGATTAAATACCAAAAAAAATATTTTTGAAATAAATATTTCTTAGTTAGATTTTAATGTTTTCAACTAAATTCTCCATTTCAACTAATTTGTTATTAATTAGGCTGAATCAGCTTGTAAGCGAGGCAATTCCTCATGACTCAAAAGTATAGTATGATGTTGAAATGCAACATAACAGGCATATCTTTAAATCACAGTTTTTGTACAATGTCAAACCAGCATTTCCAGATTGGAGATTATTTATTGACTGACAGAAAATTTGAGGAATGTTTTAGATGACATTTTTTTTACTTTAGATCACTAAAGCAAAAGTGGGCAACTCGCTGCCTACATTAATATTTTGTGCAGCCTGCATCACACAAAATATTAATTTATATATTAATATTTTGAAAATGTACTTAATAATACTTAAGAAAATATGTATGCAGTAAAAATTCTACTGTCATTTCTACAACTTAGTAAAAAGTAAAACAACAAATCAGCTTACATACTCGAATCAAAACTAATTTAAAACTTGCAGTGTCTAATATTCAACCAAATAGATATGAACATGTGAAATACTGTTTAAGCATCATGATCAAATATGTTATTCAGAATTATTCATTAAAAAATTATTCAAAAATACAGTGAAACCCTGGTTAACGACCAAATCGGTTAACGAACTTTTATTTTGGAAAAAATTTGTCTCGGATAACGAACAAAATTTGGATAACGAACTTAACGGCTTTTTGTGTCAAATTTGTAAGCTTGCCTACTTTTAGGGAAAATCAGTTAATCGTGTGTCGGTGATGGTCTAGGGTACATTCGTACGTTAGTGTTGGTGGAAGAGACAAAGATGACAAGTATTTTACAGTGAAAATCGTTTATTAGAACGGGAAGATGCTTACATATTTGAGGTAGTTGAAAATGGCTTATCTACAGTATTTTCTCTCAGCACTGAAGAGTGGCGTATCGCTGGTCCTACGATAGTGCAAGCCGATCAGTCATAGCCCCAGAGCGGACGAGATGGGTTCACTTGGTCACAGAAGCGATGGTAGGTGACAGAGCTGCAACAACTGGAGCGGTCCGCGAGACACAACACAAATTTTAGCAGGCACGACTTCAGGCTTAATCCAGATGAAGACGACACAGATTAATCGCCATAGAATTTTTAGGAAAACTGCGTTTTGACCTTGAGATTCGGGGTTTTTATAGTATTTCTTCCTTGAATCTCACCTTACGATTAGTCCTGCGTCCCATTCCTCGCTTCCCGATTGTTTTCTTCTTTGTCTCCAGGTGAAAACTGAAACCAGATCAGATCACGAGAAAGGTTTGTTCTGAGGCGTTTATTTGACACCTGTTCGTCAACTCTGATCAGAGATTGCTGATAAACCTATAAGCCTTTCGCTCATAATTTAGCCTATTGTTTCTGCTATCTGTCATTTTAGAACTTTAACGATCGTATGTGATGTTTTTATACCCGTCAAATCTTTCCCCTTTTCCGAAAATTTAACCTAGATCGACTGTTTATGAGCACGTTTTCCTATATTTTCATTAAAGAAAACCCATTTTACAAATAAAATTACAAAAATACTGACGGCTAGAACGGATGAATTGTATTTGCATTAATTTCTATGGGAAAAATTGCTTCGGTTTACGAACAATTCGGTTAACGAACGGATTCGTGGAACGGATTACGTTCGTTAACCGGGGTTCCACTGTAATTCCTATTTCCAAGTGATAGCTTAACATGTTACTTTTGCTTTCCAGACTCCAAACTGATAAGGCTACCAGCATCTGCATTAATTATTAAGTACAATTGGTGGCAATAAATAATTTGAAGTGATAAAAAAAATTTAAAACTGACAAAATGATTGATGATTTTTAAAAATTTTCCAGAGTGACCCCTGGTATATACAATAGAATCTTGTTTTAATGGATTGTGGAACAATGGATTTTTTCTCCAAGTCCTGCCAAATCAATGTAATTTTACCTCTTTTTAGTGGATCTGTTGCTCAAAGTAACAGATTTTTCTCCGCTAAAATCTATTGTAAACTTCTTGTTTTTCAATGTTAGTTTACATTTGGGTTT